TGTGGCCTTTTCCTGTGTGTATCATCAGTGTTTAAAACAATCTTACATTAGTTTTACCTAGCCAAAAAACCCTAACATAACACCTAAGAGAAGAAAATGAGCCAAGATTGAAGCGCGTGCAAGGTCTGGTTGATTTTTAGCGAATTTTTTAAAAAATTCCCACTCTTTGGGGATTGGTGTCTTCCCCATGGGGAATTTCGGGAATCCGACTCCTGATTCGTATATAGGAAATCGAGCTCTATTATATGAGCCAAAATTTCAGCTTCCTGGCAGGCCTGGAACATAGAGAATGGCGCCAAAAGTACAAATTTCGTGAGAGGTACTAAAAGGGTGTTCAGACCTCGTCCTCGTCAATATACGATTTCTGCCGAGGTGCGGGATTTTGTTTTAGTGATTTCTTTCGAAACTTTTTTTCGAGTCCCACGCGTGTAATGAATTTCTAATTTACGTCTTTCCGCTTCTAGAGATGTACGTACAGAAGCCTTATATTAATAGCAAAAATTAAGCTAATTTATTTAAATTTTATGTTAAGTTATCAAAATCAATTCATTTATTAATCAAATTTGGTCAACGCCTTCAATCGCTTTATTCATTATTGCCAACTTTTGCGCCTTAATTGACTTGCTTACTCAGCTATGAAAGCCTAGAATATTAAGAAGAATTAATCAAGTCAAGCGCTTGAAATTCTTTTCAAGAAACAGAAGAAGTTTTAACTTCTAAATAGCCATTTTACTTTTAAATATTGAGATGAAAAATGCGATAATTACTGTTAGAGCTTTTTTCTATAACTCTTCGCTCGCAAATGTTCCCTGATACTTTGTAGCCGAAAAATTATCGAGAAAAAATATCGCGTATAATATTAGAGACAAAAATTTTTTGGTGTGGATTGTAGTTTGCTTGAATTCTCCCATCACCAATCAAGGTTATGTACTGAAAAATAGACAGCTAGAAAATACTGCAATACATTGAAGTCTATATTGAAACACTCGAAGCATAAACATTTCACGAGGAGGTTTTTTACGCTTGAAAATTTGTATTCAAGCTTCGGTGATGCCACCCAACAGACTGTTTATTGGGCCTAGATAAGTCCCCTGTTGACACGCCATGAGAATGAGCTCGGCTTGTGTTGACTTCTTGCTCTTAGCAACATCGTTACTCCGTTGAAAAATGGCTTGTGAACGAGCCGTTTGTATATGACCTGACCGTTACTATGAATCTGAAAAAATTAACTTCGTTCCAAGGCTTTGAGAAGTTAACATTTTAAAAAACCGTTTGATTTAAAAAATTTTTATTTTTCTTTTTGAAACAGAAGAATGTAAGATTGATTAAATTTTATCAGAGGAACGTCGATATGCAGTTTGATGCAGGTAGTTTGTTACAATATTGAAAATTATTTGTACAAATTTTATTTGCATATGTAGCTCGAATCTAGGCCTTTCAAATGAAATTGCGTTCGAAATAGTAACAATTAATTAATAGTAATTATAATAATGGTATAATATTATAATAATATAATAATAATTATAATAATAGTAATTAATTAATTAATGTAAGTTTTTTGTATAAATGAATCCAGCTGTACAATTTTATTTTTGTTTTTGTCGGTACTTTTTCTTATGTCTAGCAGCTAAAGCTGCTAAGTATAATTGGTTCTCACAGTCTGCTCTATTAAGTTATGCCGATAGAAGTATTGCGCATCAAAAACTAATTTTTTCCGTGTTTGTTTCTCGTGCTGTCTGCTACAATATCGAAAACTTCCAATACATTTGTTCTTACTTGTTCATCAATATTCAATACCACCGCTTATTTTAATAACAGTGCTGATACCGTATCCCTCTCTAAAAGTTCCGTTGCTAAATGTTTTGCATATGGAAAAAATATGGATGAGGCAGCGATCAGCAGCCGTAACGAACGCTGTGTTTTGATGAACACTCTCGATACGCTTTAAAAAAATACGCTAGGACAAGTCAGACGCGTTGCATCTATACGGCGACTTTGCATGGCTTGGTCACAGCCAGCGTCTGAGGTCGACAGGGTCCAGAGATTGCCAGTCATCATATCAAGCAAAGCTGGTGTCGACCTCCCGAAGTGCGGCGTACCTTCAACCCTGCCCACCGCGGCGTGCCTTTACATAGCAGCCGCGGGGTGGTAGAGCTTTCGGTTCTCCTTGCTTCATTTGCCTCCTTCACAAGTGCCTGCCTTCCCTCATTATAGTGCTGGAGCGCCTTAGTGGCTTACTCCTTTAATAATTTCTCACAATGACTCGAGTTGAAGTTACGTGCCTCGCGAGGTTTTTATGTTGAACGGACGATGGCGATCTTGCAAGAATGACTTTCTGACGCTTCATTTGCATCGCGTGATAAATGCTCGCTGCTGATGGTTGGTCGCAAGCTTCAGGACTCTCGGCGGTCACGGCGTCACCGTTTAGCTGTAACTAATTTATACCTCATTTGTCGGCATATTTTACAGATGATATTATTCCCAATAACGCATGCTACCTTTTGCAGTTCCGTAGCCCCTCTTCAGGAACATGCAGAATGTAATGAAAGAATTGACCGTTGAGCGCTTCTTGTGCTGCTGAAATAATCGAATCATAGCGCCTTATTTAAGAGACAACCGCAACGGCTGCATTGCCGTAGCTCACTCTATATATAGGTTGCATTGCTAATAAATTTAATCTATTGAGGCTTAGTTAATAAGATAATTTTAGCCTGAGCGCGATTGAAATTCACAAAACATGAAAGATTTGCTAAAATTTGTTTTAATTGTTTTAGCAGCACCCAGTTGTATTTTTTTACATGCGTCCAGTCACCTATATAAGCCTAATTAAAAGTCATCAAATTCGATAGCGTAAAACTATATGATATAAAACATAACTAAATTGTACCTCAAAGATCTATAAATTCAAGGCTGCACATGGGTTCCATCTGCGCTGCTTGAAAAACTGACGGAATTTTTTCGGTTGTATATGTCATAATTTTTTTCGTGTTTTCTGCTTTAAAGTGTGCTCATTAAATTCTATTCAAATTTTATTTATTGATTGATCTATTTATACCATATTCCGTGCCGTATTTCTATAGGCATCAATTTCATATCTCATTATATATTACGGCGATTTCCCCATACACACTTTTGACCAGCTTGCATGCGCACATTCCTTATTTGTCTCGTCTCGTTCATTCATAAATTATATCGAATTCCTCAGCACGAAAAAGGATGCCTTCTATGTTTATGTATTTATCTTTATTTAATATCATACTATACTAACACTCAAGCTTCATTACGTCTCGAATCATTTTGTAACTATTCGTGGATTTTTGTATTCATATGATAAAAGTCAATTGAGTTGAATGCCAAGCACTACAAACTAGAACCAGAAATGAACTGACGTTTTTACTTCATTTTCTTAAAATTCAAGTTATATTTCCGACTTATTTGATTTTAGAATAAATAACCGAAAATTTGAAACATTTTTACTAATTCCATTCTATTTTAACCGTATCTTCTAACTTTGTTCGAAAATATGATTACTTTATATAACTTGATTAACTTAAGTTTCATTTCAGGGTGCGAAGCGATCGCCTTGCAAAGAAGACGCTTCTCTAACGCAAAGACATCGCGCGCAGCTGGCAAAGGATGCCACAAAGAGCGTCTGTGCAGCCGTGACTCGTGATACCTCCAAATTTGCTCCGTGATAGTGTAATGAGCTTACATGAGTTAGCCTTTTAAGAATATAGCAAGTGCTCAGTACCAACAGCCGCCGACCCGTCTACTTACGACGGACTTTTAAATACGGTATCTATATTTAATCTTTTATTCCGAGCACCTTCCCTACCAAGGCTCGAGGAATGGTGTCGTTCGTTTCTGGCACATGCAGTACGTGCTGTAGATTAAACGGATTCAACTTTTTGTCCGGTTTTACATGAAATCATATGTTTAATTTATACTCACACTTGCCAGAAAAGTTTTATAGCTCATTCTGAAAGCATCCCATGAATTTTATGACATTTACGCACTGTTTTTACTGGAAATTCAAGTTTATGTTGCCCTTGTCAATTTAGTTGTTGTGACTAACTCCAGGCCAGCAGATTTCTCAAGTATTTAAAATTTATAGTTGAACACTGGAATGGTTTCGTCCCTTAAGTTTTTTAAATAGAATTTGTTTTTCTTACATAGCATGGCTTCAGAAATCCAAATAGTACTTGACTCTACCAAAAAAAACATTCTTTATAGAATTCATTTTTTAAATCTTATTTACGTACACGTTTTGATTGGGGCAACCGTGAGATCAATTAAATTAGATTTAAAATCTGCGAATGATTTAAAATTTATTTTTTAATAAAATTGCTTAGCTTGCTCTAAAACTAGAGATTATAATGATAATTGATATTAATAATCAATTCTAAAAATTTCCGCTCCTCGATGCTAATCTTTGTGTCAGCCGTCAAATTTTGATCGGAAACAGAAAGGAAAAATTAAAAAATAGCATACATTGCGTACAAAATATTTTTTACTTTCGTTCGGCTAGAGTTCACTTAATTTTATGTTATGAAATAGTATTTCAGCCCAAAACCCCAGTATTATTTTGCGAGGATTAACTACATCAGTGGGTAATTATACTTTTATTGCTGTTGATCATTGCAGAAATTAAAAACTTTTTTACAGACAATGCAATACACGTAGAAAAATCAATCGCATTAACGTAATGAAAATTACCAAAATTCGAATAACTAACGATACAAAATTTGAATACATCAAAATTTTAACAGCAAACACCTTTGAAAAGAAATAATAATTTTCTATGTAAATAATGTGCAAGAAAATTTCACTTATATATGTTAAAGAATCTGATAACGAAACAAATTAACTTCGATGGAGAGAATGACGTGCACAAATTTGCACGGAAAAATTTAATTCGCGAACAATACTTGCCATCAGACAACACACACAATATTGGAGACTTTCTGTAGAGTGTAATTGGTACCAGTAAATATATTCTACAAAAAAATATTACGAAATTTATATGCAACTTATTTTTTTACTCGCAGACATGAAGGTTATCATCCGCCCTTGGACTCATCTTCTCATGATGTCCTCGATGGTGAAGCCGAGCCTTCTTGGTCTCTCTTCTTCGTCGTCAGCGCCAGGCTCCTCCGCAAGGGTCTGCATGGGCTCGTCCTCCGTCAAGGCTGACGAGGTGACGAGGATGGGACTCGACAATCGCTCGACTCCTGACGAAGGCGAGACGTTGGCCGAGCAAACTCTTGGTACCCTCAACAAAACATTGAGTTCGGTGCTCGATGATAGAGCGATGTCGTGTGCGTGTTGGGCTTTGTGCACCGCCAACGTCCTATTCTGACAAAAACCTTTACCACAAACTTCACATTTGAAAGGCTTGTCTTTACTGTGGATGTATTTGTGATCACGGAGGTGGTCTTGTCTTCTGAAGGCCTTGCCACAAATATCACAAGGGAAAGGTCGCTCGTCCGTGTGTGTACGTTCGTGAATTAGGAGATTGTAGCTTTTGGTGAACTCACGATTGCAGAATTTGCAAATATATCGTTTCTTGGGCCGACATAACCGGCCAGTAGAGCTCAGCAATAACGCTGTTATGTCGGCGGTCTTCTTAACGCTGTCACCATAACCTCTCATTAAGCTTTCTAAAGCCATAAGCTTTGGGTGTATGACACTCCAATCCACACCACTTCCTTGGTCACTGAGTATAGGCAGGAATGGCATAGAATTTGCCTTGTTTGAGTAACTGGAATCAAACTGAGGCCACGGAAAGTTCGGGGCGGTAACTGACTTGAGGAACACAGACGAGGTAGAGTCCATGGCTGGCGTGTGGTCGGCAGTAGCTCGAATGGAGGCAGCTTCCGAACATCGTCGCTTTTATATAGCGCCTGAGCTACGCCCGAGGCGCCTTCCCACGCCTTCTGGTCCCGCCTTACGCACGGCGGTGACCGTCCGCTACCATTGGTGGGGCCTCCGAGGCGGGCCACCTCGAGGGGCGCTGCGAATTTCCCCCCTCCGGTAATTAGTTCCTTGATACACAAAGTAATGGCGGAGTGGCGTCTCGATGAGATCATTCCCGTCAAATGGCGGCCTCAATCTTTTGATGCAACCTTTACGTCTACTAATTAGAATGACATGAGCAATTATTGCTGAAATAAGTTAGAGATAATAAACAACGCTTCTGTAGAGATAAATAAAAAATTCAAGTTTTTTCTAAGTTATAGGTTTCGTTCGTCAAAAATCCTTACCATTGTCAATCAGAACTTTCTCCTTTCTGAGTCAGGCCAATTAATTACATTTTATATTAGACCATATTTTCATTACTAATCCATATATTAAGACATCTCTTCATTGTTGAGACATACATTAAGCCAGAGTTCAATTGTTGAACCACATATTGAGCCGTGCTTCAAACACTAAGAACTTAATAAGCAATTTTTCAAGCCATATATTGAACGACGCTTCAATTGCTAAACCAATAATTAGGCAATTTTTCTATTAATTGTTAAACCGTATAATAAGCCATACAATCCCATACATCCATTGTTAGACCATATATCAGGCGACGCCTAAATTGATAAGCTATACATAAAGCCGTTACTCCATTGCTGAGACATTAAGTTATATATCAAGCAATATGCCTCCATTGTTAAGCCATTTATTGAACTATGCATTATAGAGCTGCTATCCCTCGTTTTCGTCGCCATTTATGCAATTATTATTATTATTATTATTATTATTATTATTATTATTATTATTATTATTATTATTATTATTATTATTATTATTGTCATTGTTATTATTATCATTATTATTATTATTTATCATTATTATTATAATTATCATTGTCAGTATCATTTTTATTATTAGTATCATATTGCAACATAGATGTCCACCACACCACGAATGATAATAGACGGCGAATAATTTTAGTTTTGTTCCACGGCTCCTGACTCAATTTTGTGGTGGTTTGTAGAATATGGCTGTTCACAAGTTGTTGTTGTTAGCAGTCTGTTGTTGTTAGCAGTCTGTTGTTGTTAGCAGTCTGTTGTTGTTAGCAGTCTGTTGTTGTTTGCAGTCTGTTGTTGTTTGCAGTCTGTTGTTGTTAGCAGTCTTTTGTTGTTGGCAGGCTGTTGCTGTTTGCGGGCTGTTATTGTTATCAGTCTTTTGTTGTTGGCAGGCTGTTGCTGTTAGCAGTCTTTTGTTGTTGGCAGGCTGTTGCTGTTTGCGGGCTGTTATTGTTATCAGTCTTTTGTTGTTGGCAGGCTGTTGCTGTTTGTAGGCTGTTGCTGTTTGCAGGCTGTTGTTGTTAGCAGTCTTTTGTTATTAACAGTCTGTTGTTGTTAGCAGTCTGGTGGTATTAGAAGGCTGCTGCTGTTTGCAGGCTGTTGCTGTTTGCAGGCTGTTGTTGTTTGCAATATATTGGTGATATCAGGCTGTTGTTGTCGAGCATATTTTTTTAACTCATTATTATTGTTACAGGCAGCTGTTTTTGAAAATATCGGAAATTTCAATGAGTTGCAGGTATTTAACGTTGTTTGCAGATTCAAAAAGAATATTATATTGACGGGCTGTTGTTGTTTACAAGTGACAGAGAAAAGATAGCGTCTCCTGGTCTAATTGGTGAACTTATCTTTCTTCACATTTACTCAAACCAGTATAGCTGAATGACAAAGACCTTCTGTAGGTCTCCTCCTCAAAGCAGTATAAATAAATGACACTGACAACTGATCAGCAGCAGGTCGATCTCGCGTTGACCGCTGCCGCCCCAATCCTGCAGTGCTCCTCGACACTGCCCGATAAAAGTGGTCGCCGAACTAGCCCAGCTCAAACACGCGGGTTTTCCTCTGTTGACTCACTCAAGTTGAAGAGTTTTAGTCTTGTTGGCAGAAGAACCGACGAAAGGCGTTAGAGGCACGTTCTGGAGAGGAAGTGGTCGGGGCGAGGTACAGCGTCGTGATACCTGATATCAAACCAAAAACAAAACTTGTCGTGTGTGCACTAAAAATCTCTTCCATTAGCCCATGCTTGATCAACACCTAGGATAGCTCGCTTGACCTCACTTGGGATCATCTTCATTTTTCTGCCGGAATTCATTTGGTTAAAGACGTTAATGAAATCGTTTTTGTTTATATCATGAGATAATTATAGGCTGTAATTTTAATCTTTATTTTATATCTAGATAGCTTTTTTCAATAATAAAGATTATACATCTCTTCCCGCATATGCTTCTTCAGAAATGTTGACACAAGAAATTAGAATGAAACATGCTATATTTCATCCATCAAGTTCAATAATTAAAATTTCTGCTAACCCAGTAGAGGGACGTTTACTCGCGATGCCTTTTTTGGCGGCCAGAACCAGCGGCCACAACTCGAGGCTACTAAATTAATGTCATCCAGATTTTTTACAAAATTTGGCTGCCAGAGTGTCGTTGGGGCGGCAGAAAGACTGAATAGGTGAGGCTGATTATAAACTTCTATAGAAATAGCCTTACAAGTAATTATAAATTATATATGTAGAAGTTAGAAACCTATCTTCTTATAACTTTCGTTTGAATGGTAAACTTTTTGGTTAAGGGTATACTAGCCGTCGTCAATTATTTGCATGGTAATTATTGAGAGTTGCCGTTGGCAGTCCATATAGGTCAAGATCGTAATCGAAGAATTAAAGATGAATTAAACAGTAAAAAGTTCAAACTAAATTAAAATTATGAGTGAAATGAATGAATTTAGGAATGTATATATTGTACGCTTAATTATTCTTATTGTGTGATGTACGAGGATGTCTATTATTATTCGTGAAAAAATAGAAGCTTTGTCAATTTCCGTCTATAAGGAACGTTTTACCAAAAAATTATAGGACTAAAAAAAATCAGCAGTCACGTATAATTATTTAAATTAAATTAAATCACAAAATTATGAACGATTGATTTTACTACAATTGTAGTAAAGTTGAATTTATTGTACCCACTTCAATTTAGGCACAAGTGAACCTTTACGGTATATAAATCTAGCTCATACCATTAATCCTCTTCCGATCAATCAGCCGTTATTTCCCCACGTGGCAGCTACTGGCCGCTCACCGGGCCACTAAATTCAAACCTGCAGCCAACAAACTCGAACAAGTATTAAACTCAAGCATTTAAACTCGTTAAACTCAAGCATTTAAACTCGTTAAACTCAAGCATTTAAACTCGTTAAACTCAAGCATTTAAACTCGTTAAACTCAAGCATTCAAACTCGTTAAACTCAAGCATTGAGCTTCCTACTTGCTAGTTGAATCAAGCCTGTACTACTCAACCAGAGTCCGTCCTCAATAACTGGTGCACGTTTGTCCTGGCCAGTAATGGTGGCTGCGACTCATTATTTTACTAAGCAGACTTTACCGAAGCAGACCACACGAGACCTTTAGCCAGATAATTAACGGCGGTTATAATAATGCATTGCATTAAAGGCTATCATCACGGCCCAATTCTACATGAATGATGAGCTATAGTGAGAATTGCACTCATTTTCAGATTTGTTTTTGAAAAACAGTAACGTAAATGTCATTTATTCCACAAACAAAAAAAAAAGCTTATTAGCCGAAAAAATTGCAATTACATATAACATACGTAAATACATAAAGTTTTCTGTCGCATTCTTAAAATTTAAAGATTTTCCCTGAGATCAAGGTGACAGTTTCTCATAATTTAACACGTTTGAAGTCTCGAGTTCTTCTAAATTTGAATGCAGACAACTTCAATTCCCGCCTCGCGCAATAAACTCGAGACCAACATTTGTGTGTGGCGACATGAACGCCAGAGCTTCTATAGTGAAGCGAAGTGAGAAATACCGAGGCGCTGCTGCCTCCTATCTGCCCAAAGGTCAAGGCATTGTATGGGTAAGTAGTTACATTAAAGCCTATTTTATGGCTTCTCGAGGCATTGAATTCTCACACGCACACTTTACTGCCACGTAGAAGCTGAAAAATCACTCTGCCGAAAAATTGTCCAGCGTACGACATTGTCATGTAAAGTTTAGTGCAAATTGTGGGAGCTTGGTCAGCAGTGGCAGATTAAAGAGCCCACAAGTCTTATCTCGAAGCTTTTATAGCCAGGCTGTAAAATAAAACCCATTACAGACCAGATTTTTGCTTCTGACAATAAATGCCGCGTCGAGGACAGGGAGGCTGCAGCATCCAGCAGTCACGATCATGGCAGTTCTTGGCTTATAATATATATGTGTCGCTACTTAACCTCGTTCATGTTAGGTTAAGGTTATAAGCTCATAAAATAAAATACCTGGAAAATAAATGAACTGGAGTTCAACCGTTACTCCAAAAAAATATTGATAATTGAACTAAAAAACAATAATTTTCATCCAATCTATATATTTTTACATCATGCTTTCAATTTTGATAATGAACATATTTGTTTGAAAAAAATATACAATTTTATTGTGATTCAAGTAAGAACGGAGTTCACTTCTTCGTCAGGCGATTAAACAATGATTATTTATAATAACCTTTAAATATCGTCTAATTCACCATAAAATATCATTTATTTGTAGGAAATTGAAATTTGAATTGTAATTGCGACAAAGTATTTTATCTTGTAATTATAAAACAGATTAGAGGCCTCACAAAGTAATAACCTAGTCAGGATTGCATCCGACCATTTAAAAATCAATACAATAAGTAACTCAGTAAGCCCTTGACATGAGTGATGAGCGTTTATACACGCAGTCCGGTCATTGTCTTCTAATAATCTTGCTTTATTTAGCGATCGAAATAAACAATAAATTTTAGAAAGCAATCAAAGGAAGGAGTCATAGAGTGACTCGTTTGCTCAACG